GCTTGAGCCCGTGGGTTCGAGACCCGCCTGGGCAGGCGAGACCTCATCTCTACAATAAAATCAAAAAATTAGCCAGGCGTGGTAGCGCGCGCCTGTAATTCCGGCTACTCGGAAGGCTGAGGCGGAAGGATGGCCAGAGCCCAGCAGGTCGAGGCTGCGGTGGCCGGGAGCAGCCACTGCACTCCAGTCTGGGTGACAGAGTGAGACTCCAACTCAAAAAAAAAAAAAAAAAAAAAGACAATGTCAAATTTAAGTTATAAATAAATTGTTCCTTCAGATGGCATTCTTGGTTATTTTAGCAAATCCAGTCTTTTAATTACAAGGTAATAGAGTATATCCTGTACAAATAGATATGTGTGTATGCTTGTGTATATGTATATGTGATATGTATGTGTATGGGTATATAAATAAATGCATAAATATTGATGCCAAATTTTGCACCTTTGTTTTTTTATAATAAACTACATTGGACTTTCTTACTAAAGTCTCAGAGTCCCATTAAAACAGGTTCTTTTTAAAAGAACAGATGAAACACATGGCAGCATAGTTGTTGGGTTTGTCCTGTCAGATGTATTTCATAGGTGCTATATTTGTATTTGATGCAAATAGAATATATTTGATAGGGTGCAATTGACCAGTCGGACTGCTACCTCAATCCAGCTCTAAAATCCTATCAGCAAAAGGACTGTTGTGTCCTTCTATATCTGAGGGATTTCTAGAATAACCTTTAGCCCCCTTTCAGAATGCAAATAGAGATAATGAATTTAATCTAAACTGCTTGTATGAAATAAACTTAATATACTTAATGCACTTAATCTTGATTCTAAAGTAGCAGAAGGTTCAGGTATCCCGCTCTTCGTGTTTTTAAAATATTTCGCACTTTTAAAAAGTATGGCAAATAAATAAGCAGACTATGTGAATATTTTTTTAAAACTTTCCATATTTTAAAAATGGCTTTAGTCCTGACTCTGTCTAGCACCGAATGCTGAGAAGTGATGTTCATGTAGTATGTGCGATTCTGAAGTGCTTTCGTGACTCACCTAAGATTAAATTATGTTCCATCAAGACTTCAGGTTAACTATAATTTTTTGGCTTTGTAATCAGTAGATTAAGGAGACATTCGTACATTTCAAGAATTGCTTAAATTCTGATATCCAGATTTAAGTATAAACATATGATGAGACTTTTAAACATACAATTAAAGTTATTCATCATGATTTGCCATGTTACCAGTATTAAATTACAGTTACATTGGAGCCTAAGTCAAATGGTTAAAAGTAAGCCTGGCTGGGCTTGGTGGCTCAGCCTGTAATCCCGCGCCTTTGGGAGGCTGAGGTGAGTGGATTGCCTGAGCCCGTGGGTTTGAGACCCGCCTAGGCAGGCGAGACCTCATCTCTACAATAAATCAAAAAATTAGCCGAGTGTGGTAGTGCGCGCCTGTAATTCCAGCTACTCGGAAGCCTGAGTCAGAAGGATCGCTGGAGCCCAGCAGGTGGAGGCTGCGGTGGCCAGGAGCGGCCACTGCACTCCAGTCTGGGTGACAGAGTCAGACTCCAACTCAAAAAAAAAAAAGCAGTAAGCCAGTAACATACCTAAGGAGTACCTTCCTGGAATATTATGCATGCAAATTATTTCTTCATGTGAAGATCTCTTCACTTTATATTTCTAAGTTACTCAGCTCTGGAACTTACTACTCAGAGACTTATCATGGTCCAAAGGAAGGGAAAAAATAACCAGGACTGATCAAGATAAGGTTAACTATAATTTATGATAGTTAAGAATTAATGTACTATAAGTAAAAACTCTCAATAAATTAAAATTACCAGTTAATGTGAAAATTCCATTCTTAACCATTTTCATAAACAAAAAAATGTGTTGATTCATTCTAGACTAAGCAGAAATTTATATTTGTACAATCTATGAAAAAAGTTTGCTAAATAAATGAATAGTATAAACTTGGTAAAAGAGGCATTTTTAAAACTAAAGTTGTTAGTGCATTATTTGAATACATATTGAATTGAGTATATTCCATAAAGCAGTAACTATTTGTAAAATAGGAGAGACATCTACTTAAATTGTTTTAGTTGACAGTTACCTTAAGTTGTTGTATCATTTGAAAGCAGTAAGTATATTTTATGAAATGTTTTATAATCTGCCGTTTTCCTCTAAATTTGCTTCAATTATTAACTGTTGTATTATAACATTGCATAAGTTTTCTATCATAAAATAATTTTGCAAAGACTCTTTGAGAGCTGGATTTCCATTACCAATAAAATATAAGTTATAAACAACAAGTAAACACTGGACTTAGAGGAAAAAGGTCAATTAGTTCATTAAAAAAAGGAAAGTAGAAAAATTGGATTAAAATAAGTTTTAAAAATCTCAAGAGAACTTGTAAGACATGTGACAATTACTTGTAAGACATAAAGACAATCACTATTCTTCTGAATTGTTTATAAACAAATAGGTTCTTGCAAGGGCAATAGATGTGCACATAATGTGTATCTTGATGTAAGGGTTTACTGCTTTTTGAAATCCAAAATGTGTCAGCCTCTATACAGAGATTAAAGGAAGCTTACAGTTCAATAAAACAGGATTGGCAGGCAGTTGTATTTAACTTTGGGACTTTTCATTTTAGGGGAGCCAGGGAAAGAGAATAAAGGGAATTGTTGGCAATAAATTAGTAAATGGACCTCTTGTTTCACATTGACGGCTTCCTGGAAGAGAAGTTCTTTGAGATAGATTTTTTAAAGGGAATGATTGTGTTGAAAATTGTTCAGATCACAAGATAGCCAGTAGATATGGATTTAAGCTTGAAAATGAAATTTGCAAATAAGAGTTTTAGTATCAATACATTGTGGCCTGGTGAAAGGTGTGTGACATTATTACACAGGAAATTTTATAGCCAGCATGTTTCCCAAAGTGTGTTCCATGGATCAGTAGTTCAGCATAATAAGTACATTATTAGAAAAGGATGGACAAATAAATTTAGAAATAAGGTATTACATTGCCCTTTTGGAGAAATACAGTGCCTGTTAGCCTCTTAAAGACTCGAGTCTTAAAATAAAGGAACTGTTTTAAAGTTTGGTTTCCCACATTTATTTGATCAGAGAATCATTCTTTTTAGGACAATTTCAGGAAATGAATTTTTAAACATTCCTGCTTTTGTTTCTATCAGCAAGGAGTGGAAAATTATTCTCATCTTGCATCTTCCTTTCTGATAGAAATGCATATGCAACTGAGTGGCATAGTTCAAATAGAAGCTGCCTAATAGTTTTATTTTGAGTGTTTGCTTTTTTAACACCTAATTTTACTGCTATGAAGATTTAAAGTATCGTATCTGTAAAACTGGCAATTTTTATTGGCAATGTGGCAACTTCACATCTAAGAGGAGCAACTTATCAAAATTAAAATTTTCTGTTAATATCTTCTTCAAGAAGAGAATCAAACATATTCTTTTTTCTTGGTTCTAAATATACTTTTCTCACTTTCTCACATTTCTGAAATTGAGATGCATTTGCAGCATGTGTATGCTTAACATGGTAGGTTCCCCCCACCCCCAGAAAAGCTGTTTGTAAGACACTGTGTATATCTTCTATTCAGCTATATCTTAAAACTGAAGAAATGGCTTTTGTGGTACCTTATACTTTCTTCAGTAGTAAGTTTCAAGTAACAAACATGTAAAGCTCCATTGTTTCTGGGGAACAGACACAGACTCAGACTTCCTTAGGAGAAGGCAGGTTACTATAAAGATAAGAGGCAAGTTAAACTATAAAGCTCTTTATGACCAAGGCAGTTCCCTGGAGCCACTTTGGTCTGTTTCTCTGTCATGGCTCATGTGGTCAGTTTGTGCCTGTCTGCTATGCAGCTCTACTGCCACAGCCAATTTTTTCTCTTTTCACCAGTTCAAATTCAGGATAGAGCCATTCTGATTGGTTTAACTTACTACAATACCTCTGGCTGAGTGCTGTACAGAGGTCATCGGGCTGTCTTGGGCTGGGTGCTGACAGTGATGCCGTCAGTGCCATCCTAGCACAAAAAGGGACCTGATGCTACTTCTCTGCCTGGGGTGGGGGTAGGGGGAGGTTTGCTGAGCATGATAAGAAATCTCACTAATGTATTCAGGTAAACAAAAGTAGTCTTTCCCTGGTTGATCGAAAGGACAAATTCAAGAAATGACTTAATGAGCTTCTTAATTATTACAGACCTTTTCTATAATACTACGTAACTGGGAACAAGAATAGATAGAAGTTGGTAGGGCTATGGGAAGGAATCGGGGCAACGTTTCAGATTTTCTTCTACTTACAGCCCATAACTGTTGATCTGTATTATATGAGTTGGAATTCTACAGGCAACCCAGTGAAGCACAGGGAACAATAATACTACCAGAAAAGTTATATAAATTATGAAATTTAAAAAGGTACTCTGCATTTCATAAACTCAGCAGTTTGCAACATGTGTATTACACTTTGATATGCCAAACAACTTTTCTATCACAACTTAATCAATGGGTATTCTTTTGCCATTTTTTTCCTCTGAAGTTTTTCTCCTACAACTCTTGAGATGTTCAGTTCTCACACAGACAAGTGTATTGATAGTTCCCTCTCATTCTTTCATGAGTGATGAACATACAGTACTACTTCTGTGGGCCTGTGTGCCCTAGAGATGACTGTAACCTACTATTGATCAGCTGATTGAAGATAAATGGCTTAGCTGCTTGTATTGCAGATTACATCATTAACATGGTCAGTAAACCATGAATTGTTCAATAAGGCGTTTATCTTTTTTCATTTTACTTCTCTTTTATCATTTTTATTAGAAAAGACAAAATTGCCCACACTAACCAGCGAGATCAGTTGAAAAGAGATCCAACGGGGTACCATTATGGGCGCAGAGTTACAGATAGCTGAGTTCTAATGGTTTGATGATATCTGGTATATGTTTTTGAACGAAAGAAAATACAGAGTTTTAATACTCTTTTTTGTGTGTTTCTCTTGCAGCTTCCTTTTGCTTCATATTTACTAGAAGCAGTACTGGAGAAAATAAATGAACAAAAGAAACTAGTTGAAGGATATTTCACAATTATGAAAGATATTAGGTGATATTAAAATGGAGAGCTTTTCCTCAAATGTGGAAACTTATGTGGTGTGATTGGAAAACATGTATTGCAGTCCTGATACAGCATCTGCTCCAGCCATCAATAGTCAGGTTCAATACCAAAATAAGAAGTCTCTGAAACTAATTAATTGCTGAACAAGTGAAACTAATTAAGTGCATAGCTATTTAAAAGGAAATAGTGTAGCATTTGATTGTTGAATACAAATATTGCCACAAATCAATGCAAACCTAAAAATGATTTTCCTTCCAGTGCATTAAAAGAAACTAGATAGAACAAGCTTGGTACACACAGATTGGTCTGACCATAAAAAGAAAAAAGTGTAAAGTGGGGATTTAATGTTTTAAGTTTCATAAAGAAACCAGACTTTTTACATTATACTGCTATAGCTGGCCTTAAAAACTTTTTGTGTAGTGTGATTGGAAAACATTCATTGTAGTCCTGATACAATATCAACAGTGATCAACAAATTTGTATTGTAAGCAAGTGTAAAATGAAACATCGTAATGTTAGGATTAGCATTTAGTGAAATAAATTGTGTGGTCCAACTGTGTCTGTTCTTATTGACACACTGGATTATAAAGGAGATAGTATATATTGCTAAAACTATTTGACAAAAATAAAATTATTTTTTTCTTCTGTCTGTCTTTTAAATTCACAGTTCTGTACTTTGTGCGGTCATTTAAATTAGCAAGGAATCATAGACCCACTACATAAAATTAGACTAAACCTAGCAGGACTCCTACTGTTGTCCCTTAATTAAAATTATATTCTTAACAATGATGCTGTCCTTACTTAGATTCCTGAACGTTCCTGCCTCATTTCACCTCTTCGCTTTGTTTCTGCCACATCCTTTTCGATTCCTCTGATTTACCAAACTCATGCCTGCCTCCCAGGTATGCCTTTGGTATTCTTTCTCTTCAGTATTTCTGTACTCAACTTTCCTCATGGCCAGCTCTTCTATCATTCAAGTTCACCTTCCCCATTCCTTCAGAAACATTCTCTGACCACCTTATTATTTAATTTTCTTGCAGCACAAATTACCTATTTTTCTGTTCACTTATCTATTTTCTCCTTCTCCTCCTTTAGAGTGTAGGTCCCCTGAGATTAAGGCAGGGGTGGCAAATTATAACTAGTAAGACATATGTGGCCTGGCCTGCCACCTGTTTTGTGTGGCCCACAAACTAAGAATAGGTTTTACATTATTAAATGGCTAAGAAAAAACAAACAAAAAATAATAATAAAAACAGGAGAATACTATTTTGTAGCATATGAAAATTATTTAAGATTCAAATTTTGGTGTTCATCAATAAAGTTTTATTGGAAAACAGTGGTGCTCATTCATTTCCATAGTGTTCGTGGCTGCTTTTACACTAGAGTGGTGCACCTGAGTGACTGTGGCATAGACTGTGCTGCCCTCATCCCTTTGCACTACTGCTGAGCACACTACAAATCACCATGACTCAGTTACACCTTGACAGCATTTCAAGTGCCAAGGATACTGCCTTACTGTAATTTTTTAAAACAAGAAGAGAGAAATGGCCGTCAAACGTCACACATTTAAGGCATGAAGTGAAGTGTGGGTTATTTTGTTACTGAATTAGATGGCAAAGCATTGTGTTTATTATGTAATGGCACTGTACTTATGCAGTATACATCAACATGACCAGACTCAGTACTCATCACAATATTCCCAACTCACCGAAAAGCAACGGAACGAAAAAACATTGCAGAACGTAAAATGTATTATCACAGCAGAATTTTGCTACAAAGATAAAAAGGAGACTGCGTAATATTACCCTGATACCAAAACCAGACAAAGATAGTGTGCAAAAAAGATGTGGTAGGCTGAAAAATGCCCATCAAGATGTTCACTACTTAATCCCTGTATCCTGGGAATTTGTTAATTATACGGCAAAAATGACTTTACAACTGTGATTAATTCAAGGATCTTGAGTGGGAAGATTATCTTGGATAATCCACGTGGATATCCATATGGGTCTGATGTAACCTCAATGGTTCTTACAAGAGGAAAGCAGGGGTCAGAGTCAGAGAAAGCAATGCTACCACAGGAGCTGAGAGAGACACTGGAAGATGCTATACCGTGGGCTTTAAATATGGAGGAAGGAGGCCTTCAACCAAAGAATGGAGGTGGCCCTTGGAGACTAGAAAAGGCAGGTAAACTGATTCTCCCCAGAGGCTCTGGAAAGAACCAGCCATGTCAACACCTTGACTTTAGCACAGTGAAACTGATTTGGGACATCCAGAACTATTATCTTATAAATTTTAGTTGCAACAATAGAAAATAAATACAATTTGCAAAAGTTTTGTTAAGAATTTTTATATCTCTGTTTATGAGGGATATTGGTCAGAAGATACACAGTCAAGACTGGTTCATTCAAAAATCCGTCAGTGTAAGCCACCATACTAACAGCTAAAGGAAAAAAATGTTATGATTATAAACTTGATGTAAAAAAACATTTTACACCTATTTATTTTTTTAAAACTCAGAAAACTAGGAACAGGAATTTCCTCCATTTGAGAAGAACATTTTTATAAAGCCTACAGTTAACCTGGTACTTAATAATGAAGACTGAGCACATCTCCTTACAATGAGGACAAGGCAAGGATGTCAACGCACCACTCTTATTTAACATGACACAGAAAATTCTTGCCAGCACAGTAAGACAAGAAAAAGAAATAAAAGGCATACAAATTGGAAAAGAAGAAGAAAAACTATCTCTTGAAAAACATTAATAAATTAACGAGTTCAGCAAGGTCTCAGCATAAAAAGTCAACATACAAAAATCAATTATATTTTTACAAACTAATAAATTAATGAAAATATGTGAAAACAAAAATACAACACAATTTGTAATTTTTCAAGATTACTTGAATATAAAATCTGAAGGGAAAAAAACCCCTATGCAGTACTGGTATACTACAAACTACAAAACATTAGTGAAGGAAATAAAAAAGATCTAAATAAGTAGGCACAGAGCCCAGATTGGTATACTCAACACAGAAAAGATGTCAGTTACCTCTAAATCAACAGACAAATTTAACACAATTCCTATTCATGTCACAGCAAGATATTTAGAAGATAGAGACAAGATTCTTCTAAAATTTATATGGAAAATTAAAGGAACTAGATAGCTAAGTCAACATTTTAAAGAAGAATAAAGTTGGAGAAATCACTACCTGATTTCAAGATGTATAGCTACACTCATCAGAGCTGTGTGGTATTGGCAGACGGCTAGAGACATAAATCAATGGGACAGAATAGAGAACCAAGAAATACACATATGCAAAATATGCCCAACTGATTTTAGACAAAGTTTCTAAAGCAATTTAGTAGAAGCAGAGTAGCCTTTTCAAAAAATGGTACTGAAGCAGTTGGGCTTCCTAGGGTTAAAAAATATATCTTGACCTAAACCTCATACATAAAGACACAAATCATCTCAAAATAGATCACACATGCAAATGTAAAATGTACAGGATAGCATGAATGAAAATATTCAGGACCTAAGACTTGGTGAAGAATTTCTAGACATGGCACCAAAAGCACGATGCATACAAGAAAAATTGGTAAATTTGACTTCATCAAAATACAAAACTTGCTCTGGGAAGAGACAAGCTATGGACTGGGAGAAACTATTTACAAGCCATATATCAGACAAAGGACTTAAATCTAAAATTAAGAATTCTAAAACCCCAAGAGTAATTCAACAATAACAACAAAACAATTCTCTGTGAGCAACATTTATGTCCTGGGAAATTGTGAAATACATGTAGAGACCAGGACTGCTACAAGCAAAAATTGTCATGATTTTGTGTGTTTTCGGAATATGGGACGGGCAGGAGTGAATATCACTCCTCAACACTAACCCTTACTCTCCTACTGAAAGCCTTGCCCATATTAATTATTCTTCAAAATTATGCAGGGTTCTGCCCAGTAGCACAAATGTTCTTTGGATTTAGAAAGTCTAAAGTGAAGATAATTATAAGAAATTTCTAGCCACAACGAGAAAGCCTTCCTGAGTGCTCTCAAATAACTATAAAGCCAAACAAGAAGAAAGAGTACCAGAAAGCATTTGTTGAGAGCCCTTTATTGGCCTATGATCAGAGGGATTCATGAGACTTGCTACTATTTTTAATTCCTACATTCCCATGCACATAACTGCCTTTGGTATTACCACAAATTTACATGAGTGGTTTAATATAACAGAGTAAAAGTGACCTTTTTAAAATCTGTGACATGAAAGGTTTCATCAAAAAGATGATTTTTTAAAGCCTCTTGGCTTACCTTGTAAACACACAAACACATATTTAACATTTTTTTTCTACTCGCCAGGGAATGGCAGGCACTACAAAGATTTTTGCCTAACACCCCAATCCTCTGTTTCCTTCCTTCTTCTTCAGCAACACACACGGTCCACAAAACCACAATCTTGACATCAGCTCCTTTCAACGCATTTTGCCACATTCAAATTTCCTTTCTCCTAACAGATGATCATTGAGAATGATCATCATAAAAAGAAGGTGATGCATTCCTGTCTCCTATACTTTAAAAAAAAAAAAATGTCCCTCTTGGTTAATGCTAACCTAGCATAAGGGACTCAGTTACTAGGAGAGGGGCATTAGAGACTTCCCTTGACTAGTGCTCACCCCAGTCTCAGAACCTGGAAGAATATATGTCTTTAACAGACTAAACCTACTCAAAACACTGTCTGCACATATTAGGAATACATTTAATAAAGAGAAACTAAAAGTAAAAGATATAAATGAAATTTGCCTTTTCCTGCCATGTCCTATTTCAAGTCACTACTATTTCACCTAAGGGAGACAAAAAAATCTTCCTGTCGTTTTTTTTGTTTCTCAGGCTTGGGACCTAGGTCTTTGAAGTTGAATCTCCATTGTAAGTTCCCTGGCCCAGAACATCTGATTGTATCTCACCTATCCTAGAATGTCTGCTGGCATCCTTTGTTTTAGTAGGTAATCCTCTCTGTATTCCATCAGTGCACCAAATTCTGACACTTTCCTCTTACAGTGACCGAAGTGCGCCAGAAAAAGAAAAGCATAGCCAGGGCATTTTTCTTTTCTGGATTTCCTTTTTATTTATTTTTATATAACTTTGTATTTCAAAATAATTTAACATTCACAAGAAGTTGCAGAAGCAGTGTTCTTGAGTACCCTTCACCCAGATTTCCTGAAGGATAACATATAACCATAGTACATTGTCAAAACCAGGAGATTGACATTGGTACAATACTTTTAATTCAAATATAGATTTCCCAAATTTCAAATTCATTTCTTGGAGTATTGTTTTATGACATTTTGTCACATGTATAGATTATGCCACCATTACCACATAATACAGAACTCTTCCCTCAACACAAAGAATAGACCTCATGTTACCCCCTTTCTATTCACATCCTTTCTTCAATCCTAACCCCTGGTAACCACTGGCCTGTTCTCCATCACTATAATTTTGTCACTTGGTGAATGTTATGTTGACAGAATTATAGAGTATATAACCTTTGATGATGTTGACCCTTTTCACAGAGCATAATGACCTTGAGATCCATCTAACTTGTGTGTATCTAGCTCATGTATTTTTACTGTGTAATAGCATCTCATTATGAGGATACACCACAAAGGACACATGCAATTACACACCCACTCTTGATGAACAGGGAGGGGCTGGGAAGGACTATGAAAAATTGGTGAAAGATAATCTGGGAAGAGGTATATAGATAGACCTCTCTGAATGAGCAAAGAACACGAAGAGACTGGTGTCCTGTGTAATGCTCACCAAAGGGTGCCCTCAGTGAAGGAGGATTTTAATAACCAAGTGGATGGGATGACTTGTGCTGCGGATGCCAGTCAACTGCTTTCTCCAGCCACCCTGGTCATTGTAAGCAAAGTGGCAATGGTGGCAGGAATGGAGATTATGCATGGCCCCAAAACATGGATCTACACTCACCAAGGCCTGCGTGGTTACAGCCACCACTATGATCCCAATCTGTCAACAGCAGAGACCAATACTGAGTCCCTGATGTGACACCATTCCCTGGAATGGTTAAAGCAGCTATCTGGTGGCAGGTTGATTACACTGGACCATTTCCATCATGGAAGGATTGTGCTTCATTGTTATCAGAACAGGCACTTACTCTGGATATGGATTTGCCTTCCCTGTGCAAAATGCTGCTGCCAAAACTCCCATCTGTGGCCTTATCTACCACCACGGCATGGCAACCAGCATTGCTTGTGATCGGGGAACTCACTTCACAGCAAAAAAAGTGTGGCAATGGGCCCATGCTCATGAAA